GTGGATTATTGTGATGTCATGAAATGAATTTAAGTTTCATGGGGGGAAAAAAAGAAATTCATAGAGGTTTTGGAACCACATTAGGCCAAGCAAATAATGACAGATTTTTCACTTTTTAGGTGAACTGTTCCTTTAAGTGCACATGGGTGTGTGTTCAGTGTAGTGTGTGGCCATCTCATTGCTTGCTCTGTAGTAGCAATTCCTCTGTGTAAACATGCTATAAATACTCATTAGTAAAAACAAGAGGACGTCACAAACACACACAAAAACAAAGAGCAAGAGTGCAACACCTCGCAGCAACAATAACAAGAGTGGCTAATTTAATTAGCACCATAAAACAAGTTTTAAAAAAGCCAGCGCCCGTCCTCTTCTCATTCATCCTTAATGATGGAATTAATCAGCAGTGTCTTTACGCATCTAATCTTAGAGGACACAACCTTTATTATTCTCTCTCTCCCCACTTTGGTACTTTTTGTAAATCAGTCCACACTTTTGTCATTGTGTAATGTCTGAAAGACCCAACAAACCACCAGCCTGTCTGTAAAACCTGGTGTCATATTAATTACCTCCTCTGATTAGATCAGTAATAAGTCTTAGGCTGATACAGAGACAGCTAATGATCATTGGCAATTACTTGATTCAAATGAGCTCAATGAAGTCAGATTGTCGCACCTCTTCTGTTGTTCAGTCATTGCCAGTGAAGACAGACTGACATTATACATGGCGTTGAGAAATTAGCATGACTGTAGTTTTACATCATCTCAATACACAACCTAATCATGATTTAATTTTGTAAAGAAATTCATAAAAACACTGAAACAAAAAAGTGTCTCAATAAAGTAAACTGTAATTAGATGCAAATGGAAAACATAAAAGCTTAAGTTTAAGCTGAAGCACCAAAATGACTAACTGACAATAAAAACTAAAGCTGTTTTTGAACAGCTTTACTCAACCATGTGCTAAAGCTCATGCACAGGATTGTGGAAAATCTTTAGGAAACAAATCAACCAAATACAAGGCCTTGTAATGTTTTCCTGTGTGAAAAGATAAAGTTGGACTCACAGGTCGGTGTTTCTTCTGCAGGTGTTTCTTCTTCTTGCTGTGTGTATGGGCCAGGCGAGGGTTGTTCTCCTGGTCAGAGTGGTGGTGCTGGTGGTTGTTGTGGTTGAGTCGGTCCTTATGTAGGTCCAAGCTCAGCCCATTCGGCACTCGGCCGGGCTTCTTCTTGCGCAGCGGTCCTGCCTGGTTCTGTCTCCGCTCGTGGGGCTTCAGGGCCATGTCCTTCTGCCAGAAAAAAAAAGCAGATATGAGTGTAAAACCCTTTTTGGATGAAACATTTTGACACATGCAGTCAAACCTGAATCTTTTACTTTTCATAATACATTTTATGGTGCAAAATTCATTACGATGTGTTATTTTTAAAAAAAATCAAAATATAAGAACTTTTAAGCCTCTAAAATGTATTTTCTGACTACAGACTTAACTAAGGCTCAGAACGCTGTCTTATAATAATGTACATTTCTCAAGATTCAACCAAATCTCAATAAACAAAATCAAGCCTTTCTCAGACAGCATTTTCTACTTTACACTACCATTCAAAAAGTTTGGGCTCAGTAAGATTTATATAAAAAAAGAACAACAATTAATACTTTTATTTAGCAAGGACACATTCAATTGATCAAAGGTGACAGTAAAAATGTTTGTTGTGTTTCTAAAGATTTCAATTTCAAATAAACGCTGTTCTTTTGAATTTTATTCATCAAAAAATAAAAATGTATCATGGTTTCAACCGAATCATTAAGCAGCACAACTGTTTTCAACACTAACAATAATGAGAAATGTTTCTTGAGCATCAAATCAGCATATTAAAATGATTTCTGAAAGATCATGTGACACTGAAGACTGGAATAATGGCTGATTGAAAATTCAGTTTTGCCATCACAGTAATAAATTACATTTCAAAATATATTGAAATAGAAAACAGTCATTTTAAATTGTAATAAAAAATTTTGATCAAATAAATGCAGCCTTGTTGAGCAAAAGACACTTCATTACAAACATGCCAACACCAAACTTTTTAACAATAGTGTATATTCTAGGGATGCACCGATATGAAAATTTTGGCCGATACCGATAACCGATTATTCTTTATTTTTGAAAGCCGATAACCGATATGTTGGCCGATAAATCTATATCCAAATTGTTATATACTTTTTGAGAGCCTGATTACAAAAAAGGTCTCATCATTAAAAGCCACATCCCAAACACTTCAACATAAGCAGCCTAGTTTGAACGGTGTACATTTTAAAAATATTTTTACTCTCCCATTACCAAATTTAGTCATAAAAAAGTCTTACAAATAAATAAAATAATGCATAAATAATGCAAACAAGTCACTGGACATCATTACACGTGTAAAGAATCAAAATGAATGCGCCATAGATCAATAAAACGGAATAGCCTCTGCACGGACAATAATTAAATGATTTTAATTACTAAACCATATTGTTGATGAAAATAATAAGAGAAAAATACAAGTGGTTGTTGTTATTAATAATATATCAATGATTTTGAAAAAGTAACAAATTAATACCACTGTTTTAAATAGCAGCCATTGAGCTGCAGCTCAAGCTGAAGCTGAAGAGCTGAATGAACACGGTAAACTGAAGCGTTTTGCTGGCAGCTTATTTAACTCAAGGAAATGCATCCTGAGATTAATATTAATACAACATAAACATAATATTACAACTTATATATGAAATGACAAATGACGCAGTTATTGCATGCTATAGTCAGAATGTGTGATCCTGTTGTGGATGCGCTCTTCCCATAACAACGCGCTGAAACACAGCAACTAAACCCAAAGAATGCACAACGTTTTATTATAATAATGTTCTCATTAGAATGTTATATACACGACATTCCCAATCATAGTTATTAATGTTGTGCACTGCTGTTTGAGCTGCGTGCGCTGAGCTAAAGACGATCACCGGTAAACTGAAGCGCTCTTTTAACTTAACCAAACGCATTCTATATGAGATAAATCAGATATACATCAAATAAACACAATATTACAACGTACAATTGCACAAAAGGCTGCAAACGAACAGCGCGCATCTGAAGTGTCTCTGAAGGAAATAATGCATTATTTATCGGCTTTAAGATATCGGCCAAATTTTCTTATCAGGCCGATACCGATAACAGAAAAAATGAGCATTTATCGGCCGATACCGATATGGTGGCCGATATATCGTGCATCCCTAAAAAAAATCCAAAAAAATGACCCCTACTTAATAAGAATAACATTCTGAAGTGTTGTGAAATACATGAAGACTATTTTTTATAGGCTTTATGGACAGATAAGTTGAGAGTGACTCTTGAAGGACCAGCACCACATCCTCTTTGTACCACAGTTTGAAGAATTGATCTTCCAGAATCTGGCAGTAAGTTTTAGGAGCTCATTTTTGTCAGTCTCTGCAAGACAGACTTTTCAGGATAGGAGATGGACTAAAAATGCACTCCCAAAACTTACTGCAACATGGAGCTAAGGAGAAAATGTAGAACTTGAAAGATTGGAAAAACCGCTTAGTGAAAAGCGTTTACAGTTTAAAAGCAAATAGAAAGTCCTATTTTTTTTATTTATTTTCTTTATATTTTTTTGCAGATTTGCACATGTACAAGATTTAAAATGTTCATGAAATATTTTTTTAAAATATTGACGTTTTGAAGCACCAAAATGACTAACTGACAATAAAAACTAAAGCTGTTTTTGAACAGCTTTACTCAACCATGTGCTAAAGCTCATGCACAGGATTGTGGAAAATCTTTAGGAAACAAATCAACCAAATACAAGGCCTTGTAATGTTTTCCTGTGTGAAAAGATAAAGTTGGACTCACAGGTCGGTGTTTCTTCTGCAGGTGTTTCTTCTTCTTGCTGTGTGTATGGGCCAGGCGAGGGTTGTTCTCCTGGTCAGAGTGGTGGTGCTGGTGGTTGTTGTGGTTGAGTCGGTCCTTATGTAGGTTCAAGCTCAGCCCGTTCGGCACTCGGCCGGGCTTCTTCTTGCGCAGCGGTCCTGCCTGGTTCTGTCTCCGCTCGTGGGGCTTCAGGGCCATGTCCTTCTGACAGAAAAAAAAGCAGATATGAGCGTAAAACCCTTTTTGGATGAAACATTTTGACACATGCAGTCAAACCTGAATCTTTTACTTTTCATAATAAATTTTATGGTGCAAAATTCATTACGATGTGTTACTCTACAGAGAATTTTTTTTTTTTAAATCAAAATATAAGAACTTTTAAGCCTCTAAAATGTATTTTCTGACTACAGACTTAACTAAGGCTCAGAGCGCTGTCTTATAATAATGTACATTTCTCAAGATTCAACCAAATCTCAATAAACAAAATCAAGCCTTTCTCAGACAGCATTTTCCACTATACACTACCGTTCAAAAAGTTTGGGCTCAGTAAGATTTATATAAAAAAAGAACAACAATTAATACTTTTATTTAGCAAGGACACATTCAATTGATCAAAGGTGACAGTAAAAATGTTTGTTGTGTTTCTAAAGATTTCAATTTCAAATAAACGCTGTTCTTTTGAATTTTATTCATCAAAAAATAAAAATGTATCATGGTTTCAACCGAATCATTAAGCAGCACAACTGTTTTCAACACTAACAATAATGAGAAATGTTTCTTGAGCATCAAATCAGCATATTAAAATGATTTCTGAAAGATCATGTGACACTGAAGACTGGAATAATGGCTGATTGAAAATTCAGTTTTGCCATCACAGTAATAAATTACATTTCAAAATATATTGAAATAGAAAACAGTCATTTTAAATTGTAA